GGGGGGTTGGTTTGAAACAATCACAAGTTGATGGGTTGGGGGGGAGGGACCTCAGAGACCATCCAGTCCCAGACTGAGACTCTGTGAAAGATCTATTGGAAGGGACCTTAAAGATCATCTAGTTCCAACCCCCCTGCATGGGCAGGGACACCTCCCAGCAGCCCAGGCTGCTCCAAGCCCCATCCAACCTGCCCTTCAACACTGCCAGGGATGGGGCAGCCACAGTTTCCCTGGGCTAGGGGCTCCCCACCCTCACCATGTGCTGGAGAACCCCTTGTCCTGTGGTGCTCACCTTGTGCTCCCTCGTGCCAACTGACTCCGTGTGCTCCAGTGTTCCTGGTCCTCATGTGATGTCCCTTGTTCCCTGCTTCTTCTTCCCCCAAGGAAATTCACCTTGTAAAAGCAGGTGGTCCCCTGGGGCTCAGCATCGTGGGGGGCAGTGACCATTCCAGCCATCCCTTCGGGATCCATGAACCTGGAGTCTTCATCTCAAAGGTACAGCCTGGTGGGAGCAGCCTGGCCCTGGGCAGCCCTGAGCTGCTCCCGGGGTGGGCTTGAGGTGAAGGGTTTTGGGGCAGGACTGGGAGAAGTGGAGGATGGGTTGGAAGGAGGGGAACGAGGGATGTGAGCACGTGCCAGGAGCTTCTCCTGGCCATCCTGCTGCTGTTGCAGGCATCTCAAGGGCCTGAGGAGCCTGCAGGCAGGTCAGGTTTGTGCTGAGCTGCCTGGGGAGAGAGAGTGTGAAGCTGCTGGGCTCGTGTTCCCTTCCTGTGAGACCTGGCAAGATCCAGGTGTTTCAAGACACCAGACCTTGCCCCAGGAGTGCTCGTGGGATGGATGTGGAACTGCAGGGGAAAACAGAAGCACCTTTTTGCAGTCAGGCCAGGGCCCTTTGGCCTGGTGTTCCCTTTCCAGCGGTGGCACCTGCTGGTGCTGGTCAGGGGGAGCACAGGAGCTGCAGGTGGTTCCTTCACAGTCCTGCACCTTCACACTGGTTGGATTGGAATCATGGGACAAAATCAGAGAATGGTTTGGGTGGGAAGGGGCCTTCCCAGGTCACCCAGTCCCACCCTGCCATGAGCAAGGTCACCTTCGACCAGACCAGGTTGCTCAGGGCCCCATCCAACTGCCCTGGAATGTTTCCAGGGATGGGGCATATCCCACCTCTCTGGGCAACCTGGGCCAGGGGCTCCCCACCCTCACAGCCCAGAATTTCTCCCTCCCATCTCAGCTCCAGCTCCCTCTGCCAGCTGGAAACCCTTCCCCCTGCTCCCATCCCTCCCTGCCCTTGTCCCAAGCCCTTCCCCAGCTTTCCTGGAGCCCCTTCAGGCCCTGGAAGCTGCTCTAAGGTCTCCCTGGAGCCTTCTCTTCTCCAGGCTGAACACCCCAACTTCCCAAATGACACTTTGGAGCAAATCTGACTCCATTCCCTGCCGGGAGGTCTCGGTTCTGATGCTCTGGGGAACCCTGTGTGCAGAGGGCGAAGCCAGAGCAGCCTCAG